ATAAATAAATAAATACACAAATAAACTGGGGGGTGGGGAAGAAGACACAACAATCACAATTACTTGAAGTTGATATAACAAGCAAACAGAAAGGAGATTGTTGGAGGCCGGCCTGTGGCTCACTCGGGAGAGTGTGGTGCTGATAACACAAGGCCATGGGTTCGGATCCCATATAGGGATGGCCAGTTAGCTCACTGGGTGAGCGTGGTGATGACAGGGCCAAGTCAATGGTTAAGATCCCCTTACCGGTCATCTTTTAGAAGAAAAAAAAAAAAAAAAGAAAGGAGATTGTTGGGACGGAGAGGGGAGATGGAGGTGGGAGGGAGGTTTCAGTAATGAACCATAGTAATCAACCACATTGTACATTGACAAAATAAAATAAAATTAAAAAAAAAATAAATAAAAAATAAAGAGCTATGTAGGCAATTTGATCCCATATTTCCTGTATTAGCCATTCTGTAGCTTGTGCTGTCAGGTGATTCTAAGTAAAATTCACAAATTAATTGTTCTGGGATACAATTCCTTATCCTTTTGGTAACTTCCCTTAGCACACAGCAAACAGGAAAGAACCCCTGAGAGACATTTGAGAGAGATGAAGCCCTGGTTTAAACTCTTAATTTGGAGAAGAAGCCGTTTTATGTTGCTTTTTATGTACCAACATGTTTAAACTCACCAAGAAATTTTGTATTAGAGGTGACTTTTTCAGTTGCATATTATAGAAACCCAATTCTAGTAAGCTAAAGGGTAAAAAAAAAAAATGAATTGGCTTAATTAACTAGGAACTTTAAGAGTAGAACTGCCTTCAGATAGTGCTAAACCAAGAGACTCCAAGACTCTCATTGAGATTCTGTCTTTGGTTCCATCTCATAAGTCCGGATGGCTTCTTTGTATGAGTTCTCCCCACACAGAGCTGAAATGGCTGCTGCCAACCCTAGACTTTCATTATTACAGTTTAGCACTCCAGTATCTGCTGTATAATTTCATGGAAGAATCTGATTAGCTCTACTTGGGACGCATGTCAGTTCCTGAACCAGTCACTGAGGCAATTGGGTGGGGGTTGAAGATTGGCCCAGCTTATGTCACACGCACACCTCTGCAGTGGAAGTGGGTGGAGGAGGAGGGTCAAAGCAGCAGACCAATGTGATCAGCTGCCCCACTGTGACCCTACAGGACGCAGGGGAGGTGTCCTCAAAGAGAAGACGGTGAGGAGTGCTTCAGACTCCACAGGTAAAAACATACGTTTCCATGAATTCTTAGTAAAACTTAAAATAAGCAATTTTTTAAATGTTGTAAAAACATGCTTAATTATATATGAAAGTGTCTCATTTAAATAATCACATGAAAATTGACAGGCACACATTTAAAAAATGAAAACTATCATTGGACACACACATAAATCGTCAGATTGTCTATTCTTTTTGACATTTCTGCATTCTCACTTAGACATCTGTGGATCTTTAAAAAAAAAAAAAAAAGTTGTACCAATTTAAACTTTAGAAGTGACGAAAATACCTAACTGTGTTTTATTTGGTTCATTTTTATATTGGAGGATTTTGCACATGTCTTCACTGAATATGGGAATTGTTTTACTTTTAATTATGGTGAAAATAGCCAAGCAAAGACAAAAGTGAGTGTCTCTGGAGGAGGCTTAAACTTGCTCTTCAGTGTCAATCCGGTATTAAATTCTCAACCTAGCCAGGGTCCAGACAAACTAGAATGGGCAGGGGGTTCAAAAAATGTGATCAGAATATTTTGCCCTGTCAAATAGCACCCACAGGTTGGATATTGTTGTGGTTTGTGTTCATTTAGCCTAGAGTCCCATGGATTCTATTGACTTAGAGTTTAAAGGGCAAAATTTTAAGGCATAACCTGGAGATTTTTAGCTATCCTATTATTGTGACACAATAATTCCACTAATGTAACTCCAGGAAATGTTCATGCTACACAATAAGGAAAGCAGAGATTTCTAAGTTGCAATGTATATAGTTAATTTAAGATGACTGTGCACTTTAAGTATATCTTTTAGAAAGATATTTAAGTAAATAATGCATTATTTTTTAGAAAGCAGCTATACATACACAAAGTTAACAAGCCATACAATGTATATCTGGAAAAGTGATGGAAAAATAACTGTGTGTAAGGAATGTTCTATACATGGAATTTGCCTAAGCCTAAATTTTGGCAAGTTGTAATTGGCCTGAGAAATTCTAAGTGTTTAGGCTTGGGAGACAGATATTCAGATACCTAAAAATGTAGTGGTGGTACCTTCAAGGCTGCCTGGTATAGCTCTCACCCAAGGTTAATTCTCATTTTATGTCTTGCATAACCACTGCTAGTATTAAACATTTAGAGATATTCTACTCCATTACTGTGGAGTAGAAGTAAAGGAGGATTCTGAAATGCTGATGGATTAAGTATCCAGAAGCACACAATTAATGACAAAAATGAGAAATAAACCTTTTCTCCCTCAATCTGGCC